TGATCTCTTTGGAGTATAGACCTAGTAAATGTGCAACAATTGTACATTGTTGTTTGTCCTTTGTTCTCGAAGAGGACCATGACATCAGGAAGATGATGCCATGACTTGCAAGTTAATTGAATTTAAGTGGGGGGGGGGGGAGCTGTGCAAGGTCACCAGCCTCACTTTCTCCTCAGGAGCCATCTGGGTCCAGTGGCAAGATATAGATCAGGACAACTGGAGGATGCCCCCCTACTGCAGGGTCAACATACAATTTAATAGCTTTTTGGGCATAGTTTCAAATTGCTTTCCAGAATGGTTGGACTAATTCACAACTCTGCCAATACTGTATTGATATCCCTGTTTTCCTCTTCTTTTTTTCTTTTTTTTTTTTGGTCATTTAGTCCAAATGATGAGTGTAAGCTAGTACTCAGTTGTTTTAATTCGCATTTTTCTGATTATTAGTGATTTTGAGAATTTTTTCATATGGCCCTTGATAGTTTTGATTTCTTCTGCTATCCTTTGACCATTTATTAATCTGGGGAGGGGCTTTTCTTCTCGGTTCCTATATATTTTAAAAATGAGACTTTTATCAGAGAAACTTGCAACAAAGATTTTCCTCAGCTTCCCAATTTTCTTCTAATTTTAGATGCATTAGTTTTGTTTGTGCAAAAACTTTAATTTTATATAACCAAAATTATCCATTTTATCTCCAGTGAACCTGTTTATTTCTTATTCGGTCATGACTCTTCACTGTCCTTAGATCTGACAGGTGATTCTTCTCTGCTCCACTAATTTGCTTGTATATCACCCTTTATGTTTAAATCATGTACCCATTTCAAATTCATCTTAGTATATGGTGTGAGATGTTGGTCTATCTATGCCTATGCCAGATCATCTTCCAGTTTTCCCAAACGTTTTTGTCAAATAGTGCGTTCTTGCCCCAATTGCTGGGAGGCCAGGTGGTGGAGTGAGGAATTTATCAAATTCTAGGTTACAGTGCTCATTTACTTCTCTGTTTTGTACACCTAGTTGTCCCACTGCTCAGCCTCTCTATTTCTTACCCAGTACAAACTGTTTTGATGATTATGGCTTTGTAGTATAGTTTGAAATCTGGTACTGCTAAGCTCTCTTCCTTCCCATTGATTCCCTTCATATTCTTAACCTTTTATTCTTCCAGATGAATTGGATTATTTTTTCTAGCTCTGTAAATTAATTCTTTGGTGGTTTGAATAAATGAATTAATTTTGGTAGTATTGTCATTTTTATTATATAGACTCAGCTTACCCATGAGCAATTAATATTTCTGCAATTATTTAGATCGACCTTCCTGTGAAAAGTGTTTTATATTTTTTTATTCTTCATAATCGTGTTCCTAGTGCCTATGACTATGTGACAGAGCACACAGTGGGCACTTAATAAATCTTGTTGGTTGATTTATAAGAAAGGACCATGTCATGGAAATCAAAGGCATGGAATATTTAATGGAAGTGATCAAGGTATGGCAAAAAAAAGAAAAAGAAAAAGAAAGAGGACTGAGAAAAGACCACTGAGTTGGGTTAAGAAAATATTAGAGGCCTCAGAAGTCTAATTGCAGGAAGCTGATAAGGGAATAAAGGAAGGTATTTTAGTTGCTCTTTGGGGGAATACATATTTGAAAGGAAGAGAAATAGTACTGCAGTGAAGGAAAGGAGGGATAGCAAGGTTAAATTTGTTGATAAGGAAGACTAAATATTTACTGAGTATATATAAGGTGGACAGTAACATACAGAGCACACGTGGTTCTGAGGTTGTAAACATGAGCGAATGAAAGAATGGTGGTGCAATTGTCAAGGAATAAAAAAGATGAACAAGTTTAGTGTTTTCAGATTTAGACTTGAACTTGAAGTGCTGGCTAGATATCCAGGTGGAATTGTCTTGTAGGTACTCAAAAGTGAGTATGAAGCTCAAAAGAAAGATCAGGGTTTTATCAAATTGGAAAATATAATAAAATCCAGAAATTATCAATGCTGAAGAGGCTTTGAGAAAGTGGATTTAATAATACACTATTGTTCGAATTGTAAAGTCATACAACCATTTTGGAAAACAAGGATGTCAAAGACAAGGAAATGTCCTATATTTGCCAAAATATTTATAACAGCACTTTTTGCAGTATCAAGAAAATGGAAAAAAAAAAGTTAGATTCCCATTGACTGGAAGTGGCTGAACAAATTGTGGCATATGGATGTATTAATATATTATCGTACTATATGAAAGAATGTAAATATTTAGTATTCAGGGAAACTTGGGAAGATATATAAGAATTGCTGCAGAATTAAGTAAGACAGAACCAAGAGCACAATATACACAATGAGTACAATAGGTAAAGGAAAGTCATACCTTCCCCTCTCCCCCCAAAAAAATCAGAACTGCAATCAGTACACTTATCAAGATTGTCTACAGAAGTGTAATGATAGGGGCAGCTAGGTGGCACAATGGATAGAGCACCGGCCCAACTAGCTGTGTGACCCTGGGCAAGTCACTTAACCCCATTGCCTAGCAAAAAAACAGAAGTATGATAATGATGAGATACATACCTTGCTATGGAAAGGTGGTAGCCTAAATATGTAGAATGATGACTGTATTATCACATGTATCAGATCAATGTATTGTTTTGCTTAACTGTTCAAAGGGAGGGTTCTACTTCAGGGATGTTACTGGGAAATGACAGCAGTTTTTAAAAGCATCAGTTAGATATTCTAAAAAACAGAACAGGCTATAGACATAGATTTGACAATGCAGACGTAAGTGATCATTTAAGCCAGAGGTTGCCAAATTTATTTGTCCTACTGTCCTCCTCCAAAAAAAATTACTCAGCGAGGCCCCCTGGAAATCTACTTTCTTTAACCCTTTTACAGGATTTTTGAAATTTGTGTCATTTCAAATATACATAATTTTTTGGAAAAATGATATATCTTAAATTTAATAATTTATTGTAAATTTGTGGTTTTTTCCTGTATTGAAATTTTGATTGTGCAATATTATATCATGTAACCATACAGTATCATATTGTAAACAAGTCATTACATTCACATATTCCTGCTGATGCATGCTGGACTTCCCGACAATGTGCAACCAGCCTGCCTGCCCACACTTGCTTGTTAAGATCTGTATGGGGACTTGACAGTTGATGGGTTATAACTTGCATTTTGTGTGTTTATTTGGAAAATAATGTAATCACTATGACTTAAACTCTGTTACACGACAGATGAAACATATATGAATGGTTTTTCAAAATTCTCTTCTCTTTCCTTATGCTTCCACCACCCTTATTTTTATTCAATACCCCCCAATTGCACCAGAAGCTACTACCACCCCTCCCCCATTGTTCCAGGGGAGTGAGGGGGAGCAATATAGGCCACTTTGGGAACTTCTGGAAACTGTGGGAGTGGATAAGATCATCATTGATTATATATTTTGTATCTACTTACCTGCTTTTTCCACCTAATGGAAGAAGCAACTCCTTGAGGACAGCCGCATTTTTGTCACTATATCACTAGCACCTAGCACAATATCTGGCACCCAATAAGGAATAAATAATGCTTATTGTAATGAAATGAGTGCCAAGTGCACAGCTTGAAAGACTGAGAGAAAGTAGAACTAATATATTTACAATACTTTTGAAAAGAGTATGTTCAAACACATGACAATGACTAAAAGAGGTCAATAGCGTAGTGTTTATTCCTGTCAAAAATTTTTTAGTTTAAAAGCATGCTTAATTAGTCTTGAAGATTAAGTTCATAATAACTATTTAGAAAGAAAAGACTTTTTTGAGTAGATGGACTTGTATGCTGTAACATACCTTTGGAGCCATCACCCAACCTCATTACTCCTCATTTACCTCTACTTCAAAAATAGCAAACAATCCTTTTTACAATGGCTTATTTTGTACCAGGCTACATTTGGGTCTTCTTAGGGTCTTTGGGTCTTCTATCAATTATCCACTATATCCTAGGACCATTATCATTGGGAAAACTTACCAATCTGTAAGATCAAATTAGCGTTGGTACTTAGTAAGTACCTTCTGCACCTCTAATTGGAAGGTGAAACCATAAATTCCAAAATTTCCATTTAAGAAAAAGGCTTGGGACTGACCATCTCATTTCCCACCTGTCTCGGAGACTCTGACTTCGCTCACTTTCCTATCCTCTTCCCTCTCATTCCTTACGTTGACTACTTCCCCCCACCCTTTTTCAGTTTCTTTTCTGTGTGTCTTCCCCCATTAGATTGTAATCGGGGACTCCTCTGTGTATGTACTTAGCACAGTATGTCTGGCAAATAGGCCCTTAATAAATGTTCATTGATTACTATTTACTGACCATGTTTAGCGTACCTGCCTGAGAACCCCTCCAAAAAAACTATTTCTCTTGCTATTAAATTCTAAGCCACTCGCTGTCCTTTCTCAAGATATTTATGGATAAGATTAGTTTCTTCCAAATTTAGGTTAGCTCTGCCGATCAGAGGCAGCGTCCAGGTAGGATTTAAGCCGGGACACCTCTACATAGGGTGGGGATGAAGTCCATTGTTTCGGTCTTGGTAGCAAACTCCCTACTTCCTTCGGACAAGGTTTTTCAATCTGGCCTCCCTCTCCTTCTTCTCTAAGTCCCAATATCTGGGTAGATAAGGGGGCTGCTTGACCACATCTGTGGGCATCGAGGGGCTCCTAAAAAGGTTCCCGGGGCCTTTTTCCACCCAGACATCCCTAATTTAAATAGAGCTGAACGGCAAGGAAAGAGGTCTCGGGCCTTCTCCAGCGCTGGGGGAAGCTGTGGCCGGGCCTGGGGGCTCCGGAGGCTGCACGGCCCAAGCTGAGCCCCCAGAGGGCGGACTTGGCGATTCTCGAATGTGGACAACAGCTAGCGCCCGCAGCAACGCCCCAAGACTGCAGCTCCGCAGGCCCACTCGGACCCTGCGGCTGGAAAGTGGGCGGTGACGTTTGGAAAGGGCGGGATTTCCGCTTCCGGCTGCGGATTGTTGACGACAGACACTGCGGCGGCGCCAGGGCCAGGGCTGGGGAAAGTCAGTCGGGAAGCAGACGGCTCAGTGACAGATCCAGCTGGGGCTGGGGCTGGGGCTGTGGCGACGATGGCGGAGGGGCCGGAAAAAGCCCAAGGCCGCCTTCCCAGGCAGCGCGGCAAACGGGAGAACCGTGGCGGAGGCCGCGACTCCGAAGCCTCCACTTCGAGCTCGTCGGCCGTCGTCCCTCCCCGGGACGAGCAACCAGGCCAGTCACGGGCCCCGGGGAGGCCCGAGGCGAAGAACCTCGCAGCTGCCTCCGCCTCGGAAGCGAGTCCGGAGCGCGAGCCCGGGCCATCCGAGAGTGAGGTGGACCCCGGCGGCGGCGGCGGCGGCAGCGGCGGCGGCGGCGGCGGGCAAGCGGAGAAGCCGACGGCGCGCGAGTACTCCCGGCAGGTGCACGAGTGGCTGTGGCAGTCGTACTGCGGTTACCTGACCTGGCAGAGCGGCCTCCTGGCTTTCCCCGCCTACGGCAGCCCCCCGCTGCAGCCCCAGCCGCCGCCGCCGCAGCCCCAGTCGCCGCCGCCGCCGTCCTGCGCCCCGGGAAGCGGCAGCCCCGCCAACGGCCCGGCGGCCGGGCCCCCGCTCGCCCCGCTGGGCTACTACAATCCCTTCTACTGTCTGGCCGCCCCGCCCGGGGACGACCCCGGGGCTGCAGCAGCGGCGGCGGCGGCTACGACCACGACCTCGACCTCGACCTCGACCCTCGCAGCCCCTCCTGCTCCTGCCCCTGCCGCCGCCCCCTCCCCGGGGCCCCGGGCTCCCAACTGGCAGGGATCGGCTCGGTTAGCTCCGGTGACCAGGGCTGGAGGGGTCACCGCGCCGCGGCAGCAGCAGAACGAGAACGGGCGTCCTGCAGGTGAGAGGCGGGCGGCCGGGTGGGTGTGTCTGTCTGTCTCTGGGTCTGTGTGAAGGGGGTGGGGCTCTTTTGGAAGCAACGATGCCTGCCTTTATTTATTCCAATCTTGCTTCTGCATTTTTTTTTTAAGCGCAGGAATTCTTGCACCTTTCAGACCTCGATTTTTTCCTTAAGGTGGACATAAGGTGGACATAAGGCTGCAATTTCCAAAGGGCACGACAGGGTTTCTGGTCTTCTTCACGCATGTGCACCTCTGTTCTCTTTCTCCTTTGCTCCATTAAACTCCACATTAGGGAAGCTGTCTTTGCCGCCTGACCTTTTCTGCGAACCTTCCTGGGAGGGGATTGTTTTGTATTATATTCTGGACCGGAGGTAATATGGTAAAGTGGATAAGAGTTCGGGGATGTAGAGTGAGAAGACCGAAGTTCATATATGATCAATCAAGGTAACCACCTTGAGGTGACCATGGGCAGATATGCCTATGAATTTGTCAATTTGTGAGTGATTTGACTATATACTGCTACCCAAAAGATTATGTACTGATTTCTTGTAATTATTAAGCTTCTTTAACTGTTTTTGTTGTTAGAGGAAAGGATTCCTTTTCAGTGGGAGGTATATCAGGAAATAATTGTAGTGTGGAAAGGAATGGTATTAATAAACCATTTAAAAACCACAGTGGTATATGAATGTACTGGTCAATTACTGCTCTGCAAAAATAAGGTTATAAATGGAAGTAGAACTTGTGGTTTCATTAGTATAGTAAGCTGCCAGAAAAGCTACCAGTGCCGGTACCTTCTCTGCAACTTAGAATTCCCAGAGTACCAGTAAGTTAAATGAGTTGCCCAGCCAATATGTTCCAGAGACAGGACTTGAACCCAGAGTTTCCTGGCTCTGAGGCCAACTCTCTATCTAATATGACAGTGGTCTCTGTAATAAAAATCAAGACTATGAGGAATTAAGGGAAACATGGAAAAATATATGTCGACCTGAAACAGAGCAAAAAAAAGCACAACCAGGAGAATACCATACATGATAATTACAATAAATGATGTAAACAAAAGTGACTCAAAAAGGTAGCTGAAATCATATTTAATACAGTGACAGTCTTGTCCTTGAGGACAGAACAAAGAAACGCTTCCCTCCTTTCTGTAGAAAAATACAAGTCTTCAATTAAGAAGCAGTCAGAAGCAGTGATTCTGTTGGGTCGGAGTTTTCAGAATTTTGAGAGTTGGAAGGGACCTTAGTGAATCTCTAGAATCTAGACCAGTCCACATACTAGAGGAATCTCAACTATAGCATACTCAACAAGCGACTGTCCCAACTTGGGCTTGAAGATGATCTCCAAGCAGGGGGAAACCTACCTCTCAAGGCAGCCTATTGTACTTTTGGACAACCATAATGAAGAGGATGTGCTTCCTGAGGTCAAGCCAAAACTTGCTTCTTTTCAACTTCTCCTTCTCCTTTCCCTTCCCTCCCTCCCCCCATTGCTGCTTGTTCTGTCTTCTGGAGCCAAACAGAGCAAATGTAAGCCTTCCTTATCTGGACAACTCCTTGACTCTTCTCTTCTTCAGGCTAAACATGCCCAGTTCCTTCAACAGATCCTTATATGACCTGGGCCCTTCACTATTCCATCTGCCCTCCTCCAAACACTTTTCTAGCTTTCTTTTTAAACTGTGGCACCCACAGACTCACATGACATCTCACATTGGATGTCCTAAAGATGTCCTAAACTCATCACGTCCAAGACTGAACTCATTATCTTTTGCCTTAAACTCTCCCCTCTTTGAGATTTCCCTGTTATTGGCCAGGGTACCACCATCCTTCCGTTCCCCAGGCTCACAACCTAGGTATCATCTTTGACTCTTCCCTCTTCATTTCCCCCTCCCAAATCCAGTCTGTTGCCAAGATCTGTCATTTTTATCTTCCTAAATCTGTCACATATATCTTCTCTCCTCTGACACTTCTATCAACTTGGTGCAGTCCCTTATCAGCTTATGTGGAGACTATTGCAGCAGCCTGCTAATTGGTCTGCCTGCCACAAGTCTCTCCCCACTCCAGTCTGTATTCCACTCAGCTGACAGTGATCTTCCTAAAGCACAGATTTGACCATGTCTCACACACACTCACCCCTTCTCAAGAAATAAACTCCGATGACTCCCTTTACCTTTAGGATCAAATATAAAATACTGTTTGGCATTCAAAGCATTTCATAACCAATCTTTTCTTTTTTGAAGTCTACATTTTTATTATTACCATAAACAAAGTACAATATATGTACAATATTAAAATGAAGCCACACTAAAAAGACACTTGTAAAAAATATGGAACACTTCTCGAATTTGCGTGTCATCGTTGCTCAGGGGCCATGCTAATCTTCTATCTCTGTATCCAATTTTAGTATATGTGCTGCCAAAGTGAGCACTTTCAATAACCAGTCTTCACCCTTCCTTTCCAGTCTTCTTATATCTTTCACCTTATCACTTCCTCTGCAATCCAGTGACTTGTTATTCCCTGAACAAGATAATCCACCCCTTGACACCAGGCGTTTTCACTCTCATGCATGAAATATTCTCTTTCTTATGTTGTGGCTTTTCCTGGCTTCCTTCAAATCCTAGCTAAAATCCTACCTTCTACAGAGAGTCTTTCCCTATCCCCTCTAATTCTAGTGTTAATTACTCTTTATTATTTTCAATTTATCTGATATGTGACTTGTTTGTAACATAATTGGTTGCATATTGTCTCCCCCATTAGACTTGTGAGCTTCTTGAGAGCAGGAACTATTTTTTACCCTTTTTTGGCTCCCCTTTGCTTAGTACATTGCCTAGCACATAATAAGCACTTAAATAAATGTTTGTTGACCAAAAGACTCCACTGGAGACATCTAGACATCCAACCAGTGATGAATCTACCTGATTTTATTGTCTAATCTGTATCTCTCCATCTTCTGCATACAAGTAGTATGAGATCATCATCAAAAGCTTTGCCAAAATCTAAGCAAACCATATCGACAGCATTCTTCTCATCTACTAGTTGAGTAAGCCTATCAAAAAAAGAAAATGAAGCTAGTCTGACATAATCTGTTATTGATGAAGCCATTCTGGTACTTTGTAATCCCCATTTCTACCTTTGTAGGTATTTGCTAACCATGTTTTTAATGATCTCATCTTGGATTTTTCCAGGAATCAAGATTAAGCTCATTGGCCTATAGTTAATAGGTTCTGTTCTCATAACTTTTTTGAAAATTAAGACAGAATTTGCCCTCCTCCAGTCTTATAGTACCTCTTCCATTTTCCATGATTTTTTAAATATCTAGACAGCAGCTTGGCAGTCATATTTGCCAGTTCTTAAATCATCTGGGCCAGATGATTTGAATTCATCAGGGGCAACTAGGTGCTATTTCCTTTATTTCGGGTATCAACTGCATGTCTGACATTTCGGTTTTATCATTTCCAGTTCATAACAGTGCTTAACTGTTCTTTGTTAAAATGGAGGGCTTATTGGGAAATTACTGCAGTGTAAAGAAACAATAGCAAAACCTTTTTTTTAAAAAATGATATATTGGGAAGTAGAAAAAATGAGTTGGTCATTGAAAGAAAAATAAACTTCACAATTGAAGGCAAGGGGCCCTGTTTTGTTTCTTTTTCTGTCTACTTGTCCTGACAGTTGTGTAGTGTTTTGTTTTGTTTTGTTTTATTTGGGGAAGGGGGTCATAGTATGTAGAACAGGAAAGAAAAAGGAATTAGACTTGTAATTGCATTGATATAGGTAACTCTTTATACCAATGCATACATCTGCTTGTATCTTATAGTTCCAGAGAGTTGCTAGAGCACCGAGAAGTTGATGATTACACCACTGAAATGGTTATAAAGTCAGTGTGTGTCAGAGGTAGGACTTGAACCCAGGTCTTCTTGACTTTTTTCAGTGTACTAGGCTGATGCTATAATGCAGTTTCTTAATAAATGTGTATCAAATAGATGAATTAATGGGATATGATACAAATTGAATTTTGACTAAAAGTTGTATTTAATCTTTAATGCTACTTAGAAAAATTTCAGTTCAACATTCCAGATTTATTAGGATTAGCTATTTTTTTTTTTAAATGATAGATTGCTACTTATAAGTGGGAGAAGAACCAGCTGTATTCTGGTTTTTTTATCTTGGTCAGTATTCAGGAAAATAACAAGTTAATCTTGTATACAACAAATTTACAACCTGGTTTTCAACATGATTAGCAAATCTAATAACTGATGCAAATCTTGTGAGGTAATGTTGAACATAGGAATTTGAGATCCTAAATGTCTGCATATATGCTTCCCTTTGATTTTACTATAAAGTGCATAGTTTTATGGAATCATGGTATTATGTCTGGACTGTTCCATTGAGGTTATCTAATTCAGTCCACTCCTGAAGCATGAATCCCCTCTTACAGCATCACCAAAAATTAATAATTGTCTAACTTCTATATTATTGTTTTTTTGGTTGTTTTTTTTTAGTGAGGCAGTCGGGGTTAAGTGACTTGCCCAAGGTCACACAGCTAGTACGTGTCAAGTGTTTGGTCTGAGGCCGAATTTAACTCAGGTCCTCTTGACTTCAGGGCGGGTGCTCTATCCACTACGCCACCTAGCTGCCCCGTAACTTCTATTTTAAAATCTCCTTGATGAATTATTATGAATAATTAATTCACCTAACTTCCAAGGTAGCCTATTTAACAATTCCCATTGTTAAAAAAGTTTTTTTTCCCCTTATATTGCGTTGAAAAGTGCCTCTTCATTCTTCGTTTTGTTCTCTTACACCAAGCAAAACTAGGCTAATTCCTCTTCTACATGACAGCATTTCAAGTATTTGAATATGGTTGTCTTGTTCCCTGTCCTTCCCAAGCTAAACATCCCCAATCCTTTCCACTCATTCTTGAGTAACATGGTTTCAAATCCCTTTACCAATTTGCTCAACTCCTATAAAATGTTCTAAAACATAATTTTTTAAAAAATTTAGTTGAACTCAACACTAATCCTATAGATGTGTTTGATCAGGTTAGATCAGATCAAGCTGTTGTCTCCCTCCTTCTGGACCCTTTATTTCTATTCATGTGGACTAAGATTTGCATCAGCTTTTTTGGCTGACTTATGTCACTATTGATTCATATTGAGCTTACAATCCATCAAACCTGCAGGTCTTTCTGTTGTCTAGCAGTTTCTCTTCTACTCTTTACTTGTGCAGTTGATTTTTCATCTCTGTGTGTCATCAGATTATGGTTTCTTTCAAGCATAAGCTCAGTTGAATTCTGCCCCTCATTCAGTTTGTTGTTGTTGTTGAAATATAAAGTATAAGGATTACATTGTTAAGAGATATATCTGTGATACCCTTTATCACTAAGGTGATAAAAGACAATAATTACATGTATTTGAATATTTTACATGGAGTTTAAATTCATTAGGTTATATAATATAATATAGTACAATAGTGCATGACAAGCACTAACTTAATTTTTGATATTAATTTTATTAGTATTATGAGTTACTAACAGGAATTTTCAAGTAATAATTTTTCTCCTCCATTACTTTCCTTATTCCTAACCTAGCTAGTATGCTAGCCATGCTAAAGTAAATTAGACATTTAATCTAATAATCAATTTTTTAACTTGTTTTTTTTCTTATTTCAGGTAGAGAATATGCTATTCCATCCTTGGCACACAGGTTTATGGCAGAAATGGTGGATTTCTTTATTCTGTTTTTTATAAAGGCAACCATGGTCTTAACTATTATGCATGTCAGTGGAATAAAGTAAGTTAAATTATAAAAAGGCTTAACTTCTTTCCCTTTTAAAGAAATTTTGTTCAGCTGAAAGTATATGAATATATCTGAGCATACATCTCAGGAGATAGGATTTTCAATGGTATACTTTGGGTTTGTTTTTGATGTGCTCTTTCAAGTTTATTTCCTATTGGTTTTAGGTAATAACTATAATAGAGAACAAAAGTTAATAGCAACAGTAGGAATTTGGCCTGCGTTTAGAGTTAGAGATAGGAAACCTCAAGCTCAAGGGTCTGTTTCTGTTTCTGAACTTATTTTTTCAGTCTTTGGAAAACAGTATTGCTCTTGCAGCTCTATAGGCTTCTATGGTCCATTCACAGTGGAGCTTCTCAAAGGTAAAGGATAAAGAACATTTAAGCCATGAACAGTGATTTAGTCAGTTGCTTCTTAGTGACCCTTCCTTTTAGGAGAAAAAATAAGATTATAAAAATAATATTTTAGTTAAGTACTCAGCAACTCATTGCCCTTTTTATTAATTTTTTTTATGATCTAAATTCAAGTTCTGTCACCATCTGAGTCTGTGGCTAACAGATTATGGCACCAGTACTTTATTTAATGGGCCATCTATTTGTATACCTCAAAATCAAGAAGTATAGCAAGAATCTAGCTGATGTTAAATCAAGTAAATAAGGGCTAGTTATTTTCTAAGATTGTTATACACATACCTAAATCACCTGTTTTTGATGATAGAACAAATTATATAAATTTATAATATTATTTTAATTTCTTTATATATTCTGTCCCTCTCCCTTCATCCTTTTGATAAAAAAGAAAGAAAAAGCAGCTCACCAGAACTAATCAGCACATCAGCTGAGTCTTGACAGTTTGTGAAATGTTCTATAGTTGTCCTCCATCTCTCCCATTGAAGGGAGGTAACATTTTTTCATCTCTTCTTAGGTGCAAGTGTAGTCATTATGATTATATTTAATTTTAATGAATCAGAGTACATTTTTTTCCTTCCTACGTACATTGTTGTAATCAGTGTACTTCTGGTTCTGCTTCCTTCTGCATCTGTTCATATAAGTCTTCCTGTGCTCCTCAGAATTCTTCATATTTATCATTTCTTGTAGTAAAGTAATATTTCATTACATTCATTTTCAGTTTGTTTAGCCATTCCTTATTTAATGGGAATATTTGTTTGTAGTTCTTTGCTATTACCAAGTATTGCTGTAACTGTTTTGGTATATATGGGACCTTTCTGTCTTTCACCTTTTTGGGGTGTAATATAAACTTATTTTAATTCAGTTTCTCATGTTCCTTTTTAAAGCTATCTTGCCCTTAAAAAAAAAAAGTTTGTTTTTTGCTTTTTTGAATAGGATTTTGGTGATACGAGCTGACAGTATACATTTACTATATATATATAATTTATTTACTATATATATAATTTATTTACTATAGTTTAATATATTTCATAATTGTATGTATATGTGGTAGCATTCATTCCTTTTAGTAAAATGTAGCTGTATTTTAAAATAAGAACTTACTTTTTCTGCTGCTATTTTGAAAGAACATTGTGTCAAAAGGAAAAACAAAATTAGAAGCTTACAGTCCAAACAGTCTTTGAAATATTTGTGGTCTCCAGAAAGAGGAGTTCAATCTGCAGTGACTGGTGTGTTCATTTCTGTGGGCTAATGGTAGAGGGACTCTTAAGGGGTTCTTGGCAGCATTTGGCTTTTTAGTTCTCAGAATTTAAATTTATACCAGTGATTAACATGTGTTATGTATTCATGTTTTGACACAACAGAACTTTTCCTGTCCATAATAATTTAAACTTTAATGTCCAACCTGATGATAATAAATTTTTTTTAGCAATAAGTAGGAGAAAAGTATCCTGAATTTGACTACCCAGTGCTTGTGTCATATGTAGTGACAAGATAATAGCATCAGCAGGAAAGGAGAAACTCACTATCTAGCCATCTTCCTTTTTTTTTTTTTTTGTGAGGTACATATGTTTAAAAAAAGAAAACATGAGGAACACTTCTATGGAAAGTTATTTTCACAATTTGACTGTATTTAAAATATTTCCTAATTGATTTTTATCATCCTTCAAAATTCTGAACTTTTGTGAAAACTTACCTAACATTTGGAGGATCTGAGATAGAATGAAACACAGGATCACTTAGTACTTGATTCTCTCTCTCACTTTTCACCATAAAGTTAATTTGAATGTAGCCTCTGGCAAGGTACTGAGGTTGAAGAATCTCACAAGCCATTGCTCTGAACCCATTGAGTCCATCAAACTGCCTCCTGAATCATATTGATACTATTAGAAGGCTAGCCAATGGTCTCCCAATGGGGACCATGGCATCGTGCCAGAGGTCCACAACCAGTCCCTAAGGAGGTGTTTAAATAACTAATTGCAGGGTAGAAATACAGTAGTATGCTGGAGCCAGCTTACAATTGTTCAGTTTCAGCATGAGCATTTTTATCTTGGAATTCAGCAAGCACTTCACTTCAGGACTTGATTTGTTTTACTGATTATCTAGACTTAAGAAAATGATGAAGAAAATGTTAGTAATTCAAATTAAACTTAAAAGTGTGCCATATGTCCATTTTTCTTTTCAGAGAACTGATTCTTAAACATTTACCAGCATATTGGTACTCTCATCCCACCCTTGCTCTGATAGCTAGTCTTGTCTCCAACACAGCCACACCTACCTTTATCCCTCAAACACTCCTCCACCTTTCCCCTCCCTTTGCTGTGCAAGCTTCACATCTCCCTCCCACCCTTCTGAGTTAGGTATTGGCCCCTAAACTAACTGCTGTACACTGCTGCTGTGTAGGAGTAAGTGAGAAAATTCTACCTCATCTCCTGCCACCTAAATCGCCTAATGGTTATGGCCAGTGTTCTGTATTCTGCAGTTGGGGAATAGAACCACTTCTCCCCTTTCCTTTTGGCAGAGACATAGTCACATGATGGACAGGCATGGCTAGATTGTGATCCTGCTCACAGATAACATTACATCTTTTCCCTCTAACCCCACTCATCTTCCCTAGTATTGTTGAGATCACAACTATCCTTCCAGTCACGCAGGTTTTCATAGCTATCATCTCTAACTTTTTACTTACCCTCATTCCGAATCCACATGTCCATTCAGTTGCTGAGTATCGTTGGTTCTGCTTCTATATCTCTCATAGCTCTCACCTCTCCACTCATATATACCACTGTCATTCAGGCTGTCATCATTTCTCACCTCTTATTTGGTCTCCCTACTTCAAATTTTTTTTTTTTGATTCATTAATTTATTTTTGGTTTTCAGCATTCACATCCATAAGATTTTGAGTTCCAGATTTTCTCCCCATCTTGTCCCTCCCTCAACCCTGAGACAGTGTGCATTCTGAATACCCTTTCCCCTAATCTACCCTCCCTTCTGTCTTCCCCCTTTCTCTTATCCCCTTCCTCTTCTGTTTTCCTGTAGGGCAGGATAGAGTTCTATATCCCATAGCCTGTATATCTTATTTCCCAGCTGCATGTGAAAACAAATTTTTAATATTTAATAATTTACTTATTATTAATGTTACTATTTTTATTAATATTATTAATTTATTTATTATTAGTTATAAATAATTTAATATTTAATAAAATAAATTTTCTCCCTTCCTTCCTCCCCACCCACCCTCATTGAGAAGGCAAGCAACTTGATACAGGTTATACTTGTGTAGTCATGCAAAACACTTCCATAGTAGTCATGTTGTGGAAAACTAACTATATTTTTCTTCATCCTATCCCATTTATTCTATTCTCTTTTTTGACCCTGTCCCTCCTCAGAAATGTTTGTTTCTGATTACTCCCTCCCCCTATATGCCTCCCCTCAATTATCCCCCTCACTCTCTTCTCCCCTTCCTCCTGTAGGGTAAGATAACTTTCCATACCTAATTGAATGTGTATATTATTCCCTCCTTTAGCCAAATCCAATGAGAATAAGATTCACTCATTCCTTCTCACCTTCCCCCATTTCCCCTCCACTGTAAAAGCTTTTTCTTGCCTGTTTTATGTGAGATAATTTACCCCATTCTACCTCTCCCTTTCTCCTTTTCCCAGTATAATCCTCTCTCACCCCTTATTTTATTCTCCAGATATTACTCATTCATCTTCAACTCACCCTGTGCCCTCTGTCAATACAACTGTGTATATAATTTTTTTTTTCCCTCCAACTACCCTAATACTGACAAAGGTCTCATGAGTTAGAAATATCATCTTTCCATGTAGGAATGTAAACAGTTCAACCTTAATAAGTCCCTTATGATTTCTCTTTCTTGTGTACCTCTTCATGCTTCTCTTGAGTCTTGTATTTGAAAGTCGAATTTTCTATTCAGCTCTGGTCTTTTTATCAAGACTGCTTGAAAGTCCTCTATTTCACTGAATGTCCATTTTTTCCCCTGAAGGGTTATACTCAGTTTTGCTGGATAGGTGATTTTGGGCTGTAATTCTATCTTGCCCTCTGGAATATCAGATTCCAAGCTCTCTAGTCCTTTAATGGAGAAGCTGCTAAATCCTGTGTTATCCTGATTGTTTCCATAATACTTGAATTGTTTCTTTCTGGCTGCTTGCAATATTTTCTCCTTGACCTGGGAACTCTGGAATTCGGCTACAATGTTCCTAGGAATTTTCCTTTGGGGATCTCTTTCAGGAGGTGTTCTGTGGATTCTTTCAATTTCTATTTTACCTTCTGATTCTAGAATATCAGGGCAATTTTCTTTGATAATTTCTTTAAAGATGATGTCTAGGCTCTTATTTTTTGATCATGGCGTTCAGAGTCCAATAATTTTCAAATTATCTCTCCCGGATCTATTTCCTAGGTCAGTTATCTTTACAATGAGATATTTCACATTGTCTTCTATTTTTTCATTCTTTTGGTTTTGTTTTACAATGTCTTGATTTCTCATAAAGTCACTGGCTTCCAATTGCTCTATTCTAATATTTAAGGAAGTATTTTCTTCAGTGAGCTTTTGGACTTCCTTTTCCATTTGGCCAATTCTGTTTTGAAGGCATTCTTCTCCTCATTGGCTTTTTAGACCTCTTTTGCCATTTGGGTTAGGCTATTTTTTAAGGTGTATTTTTTGGGGTCTCCTTTAGCAAGCTGTTGACTAGTTTTTCATTATTTTCTTGCATCACATTTTTCTTCCCAGCTTCTCCTCTCCTTCTCTTACTTGGTTCTCAAAAATCTTTTTGAGCTCTTCCATGACCTGAGACTGATTCATATTTTTCTTGGAGGCTTTGGATGTAGGAGCTTTGACTTTGTTGTCTTCTTTTGGTTGTGTATTTTGATCTTTCTCACCAAAGAAAGTTTCTGCGGTCTGACTGTTTTTTGCACAGTTTGATCATGATCCCAGCCAATTACTTGTTTTAAATTCTTCGTTAAGGTAGGGGTCTGCTTTCAGTGTGGAGAATGTACTGTCCCAAACTTTGGGGTTTTTGTGCAGCTGTTTTCAGAAGTACTTCTAGGGACCTGTAAATTTTCAGTTCTTCCAAAGTGGTATGATCAAAGGAGAGGTGTTTACTCCTTTCCTGGTCTGTGAGTGACCACAAGCACTCTTTTCTGCCTTGGAACTGTGAGGACGATTCCTTCTTTATTGCCACCACAAGCTCTACCATGCCAGCACTCCTCTTCGCCCCAGGATTGCCACCCAGAACTGTGACCATGATAGAAGCACAGGCAAAGCAAGAGAATCCTGCCTCAGCACCAGCAAAGAGATCCCCGCAATCCTCCTTTGATCAGTCACTCGATTCCCCATCCAGCTGTGGGCCGGAAGCAGCCACTGCCCTAGGGCTGTGCCGGGACAGGGGCTGGGACTGAGCTTCTCTCTCATGGCAGTCACAGACTTTTCCCACTGACCTTCTAAGTTGTCTTTGGCGATCATGGGTTGAGAAGTCTGGAAATTGCCGCAGCTACCTGTGATTCAGTCCCCTGAGGCCTGCTCCAGGTTCACTGAGGCCTGTTTTGCCTGAGCGGCCAAGCTAAACTGCATTCCTCTCCCATCCCAATGCAATAGACCTTTCTTATCAACCATCCAGGTTGTCTTGGGCTGGAAATTTGTTTCATTCTTTTTGTGGGTTCTGCTGCTCTAGAATTTATTTAGAGCCACTTTTTTACAGGTATTTGGAGAGGCTTGGGAGAGAGCTCAAGCAAGTCACTGCTTTTACTCTACCATCTTGGCTCAACCCCACTCCCCTACTTCAGATTTTTCCCAAGTCTAATCCATTCCACACACAACTGCTAAGATGATTTTCCTAAAGCACAGATCTCAATATATATGTTACTTCCCTACTCAGTAAGTTCCATTGGCCCCCTAGTGATTCTAGGGTCAAATGTTACTTCATATTTATTGAATACCTTTAAAAACTAAGTCTTATTTAATACTCCTCCCTTGCATGTGTATTATGCTTCAGCAAAACTGGACTACTTTATGTACCCTATCTCACTCTTCTTCCTTATATAGTCTCTGTCATCTTTATCTCCTGTATTCTGTATTGAAGTATTCCAAAGTATTCCACTGAAAATCTGTATTTCATTTTCTGTCCTTATCCAAATACTTTCTTAAATTTTGAATAGATTTTCTTCAGACTTGCACAAACTAATTTATGTGAGTAGATGAACTATTGGTATAGATTCAGTTGAGACAGAAAGATAAGGGATGCCAGTTGTTAGGATGGCATCTGTAGATATACAGTTGCCAATCCATGAGTAAGCTAATGAAAGTTTCTTAGAAAAAGAAAAAGATAACTGAAGAAATTCTTAAGTATTGTGAAATCTGGCATATGAAAATGAGTGGAAAGTACTTGCTCCAGAGGAGCTATTCATTTTTAGAATTTCCTTTAAATATTGGTGTGCTTTAATGGAAAATGTTAATCTGTCATTTATTCAGCTATTCTTGTAATTCATTCTTTATAACCTAAGTGCTGCCTTTTATTCTCTGTAGGGATATTTCTAAGTTTGCTATGCATTATATAATAGAAGAAATAGATGAAGACACATCAATGGAAGACCTGCAGAAAATGATGATTGTGGCTCTTATATACAGGTTATTAGTTTGTGTCTATGAGGTAAGATCCTAGTATTTCAAGAAATTTTTTAGAACATCATTTAATGTTTATCTTAATAAACATTAAATTTTTATAATTGTTTAATTTGCTTATAATTTTTAAAAAAATTTTTTTAATTTAATTTTTTTATAGTGTTTAATTTAGTATTTAGTGATAAAAATTAATATAAGGCAAAATTGGGCATTTTAGTCTTTAACAGTCACAAAGTCTTAGACTTGGTGGAGAGCTTTGAAATAATCTAGTCCAAACCCCCTCATTTTATAAGAAACAGAGATCTAGAGAAATAAACTGGTTTTTCCCAAGTTCTTAGTAGTAAGAGTTAAGGACTAGACCCTAGGTTTTTCCTAAGCCAGTGCACTTTCCACTATAGCTTATGCCCAGAATCTCAGGTAGCCTGTAGTTTATAAGAACTTCTTTAGATACACACAAATACTTGCTATTCTATGCAGTCTCTTTATAGACATAGAAATGTTTTGGTTTTTTTTAGATCCTTCCATTCATTCTTCTTCAAAACTTGGTCAGTAGTAAATTGATTAGGATTTCTGATTGAAAGCAAATAGGGTATAGTACAAAGAATTCTACTGGACTTTGAGTAGGACACCTGGGTTTGAATGACTGCTCCAATAATTACTACTTATTTGGCTGTATACAAGTCACTTTATTGATGTATCAGGTTTTTTCATCTATAAAATAATGATAATGATACATTACCTACTTCACAAAGTTTTTGTGAAGAAAATAATTCATAAACCTTATAGCACTATGTAAATATAGATAATTTTGTTATTATTATTGAGCCCCTTCCTATGTCAGGTTATATGGAAGATGTAAAAGTATAAGATAGATTACCCTGCCCTCAGGGAGCTTAGTTTAAAGCCAGTTTAGGAACAGAACTAGACAGAATGTATCAGGTCACTAAGAGAAGCTGCAGAATACCTCTTTCTGGAATGGACAACAAAAGTCATGTTTTTAAACATATTAGATCTAGTCCTTGCTTAGGTGTATAATGATGATTTTCTCATGATAAACTTTAGCTATGACGTTACAGAAAATGCTTTCCTTCCACTTTAAAGTTTTCAGCAAGTATTGAGCAATCAGTAGAATAATTGGGGAAAACTTTATTAACCAACAAAATTGAGAAGGGAAATGTTTTCCTTATTTTTACCTCTTTTTTAAGATAGTATTTTATTTTTTCCCAATTACATTTTTTTTTTAATCTCTTTTTCCAGATAATTTGTATATGGGGAGCAGGTGGAGCTACTCCAGGGAAATTTTTGCTGGGACTTCGTGTTGTGACATGTGATACATCAGTACTCATTGCACCAAGCCGTGTTTTAGTGATTCCTTCCTCAAATGTTAATATAACAACGTAAGTTCTAGGTTTTTATTTTTAAGCTTGCTCTATACTGATAAAACTAATTATGAACTTTTAAGAATAAGTATTCAAAGCAAAATCAACTGACCAGGAAAACTGATCAAGGAGGGAAAATTTAAGTATCTTTGGACTACCTGAAAGCCATGACCCAAAAAAAAAAAACCAAACCCAGCCTAGATATCCTATTTCAAGAAATCCTGAAAGAAAACTGCCCATGTCTTTTAGAACTAGAGGGCAAAACAGAAATAGAAAGAAACCACTAGTTATCTCTTGAAAGTAAGGTAACTCCCAGGAATATTATAACCAAAATCTAGAGCTTCCAGATCAAAGAAGAAATACCACAAACAGCCAGAAAGAAGAAATTCAAGTGCCAAGGAGCCACAGTTAGGATCACACATGATTTAGCTACCACCACTATAATAAGGCATAGAGATTAAGGCATAGAGATTGAAGAAGACTGAATACTCTAGAAGGTAAAGGATATAGGCTTAAAACTAAGAATAACTTACCCATAAAACTGAGAATAAACCTGGAGAGAGGAAAATGTATTTTTAATGAAACAGAGAATCTCCAAATATTCCTGATGAAAACCAGAGCTGTGTAGAAACTTTGAAGTTCTGTAAACATAGGAGTCAAGAGAAACATAAAAGATAAATATAAATGAACATTTGCAGGGGACTAAAGAATAAACTATCTACATTCTAATATTGTGAAATGAAAAATGTGTGCATTCTGAACCCTATTATAACTAAGGGTCATTGGGGAATTAATTAGATGGATGACATGGGAGTACTGTTATGTCTTGATGCTTGTAGAACAAGAGTTGACTCACCAAAAAAAAAGAAAGAAAAAAAAAAGAGTTGAAGAGAGGGTAAGAGGAATTTAGTGGGTGGAGGGGACAAGAAGGTGAGAAAAGTTAGGGAAAATTACTTCATAATTGAGGTGGTCAAATACAAATCTATACAAAGAGGAAGGGGAGTCTGGGGCATGACTGACTTGAATCTCACTCTCACCTTTACTGGTCAGAGGAGGGAAGAATACATACAAACACCCACATGTGTACTCACACAGAGTTGGATACAGAAATACATTTCACTTAGGTGAGAAATAGGGAAAGAGAAGGGAGAATTAGAGGGTGGGTGTATTAAGGGAGAGATTTGTCCTAAGCAAAACAAATCCTAAGAATGTATATATTTGTTTTTGCTGTGGCAAAGAATTGGGAACTGAGGGAATACCTATTATTTGGTGAATGGCTGAACAAGTTATGGTATATAAATATGATGAAATATGATTGTGCTATAAGAGATGATGAAGTGAATGGTTCCAGAGAAACCTGGGAAGACCAATATGAACTGATGGCAAAGTGAAGTAAATGGAACCAGAAGAATGATTTATACAGTTACAGCAATTTTGTAAAGATAGTCAACTTTGAAAGGCTTAGGAACTCTGATCAGCATAATGACCAGCCTTGATTACAGAGGACTAATGATGAAACATACTGCCCACTTAGGACTTAGAGCATAACTTGAGACATTTTTTTTTTAAACATGGCCAATATAGAAATTTGTTTTGATTAACTGTACGTGTTTGTAACAGGAATTTTAAAATTTTTTTCGTTCCCAATTGGTGGGAAAAAAAGCAGATTTTTGCAGATTGAAAATATGTATAATTACATGTATACATGTTTTACAATGTATACATATTTTAAAATATGTATAATATGTATAATACATTGAAAATGTATATACATTTTTATAATTACATGTATACATATTTTATAACGTATACATATTTTAAAATATGTATAATATGTATAATACATTGAAAAATGTATATACATTTTTTTTAAAAGAAGGGAACCAATATGATTAAAAGTTTCAAGATCATACCATAAGAGGATAGACTAAAGAAACTGGGAATACTAAACCTGGAGAGTACAAGACAGAAAGTTACTTTCAAGTCCTTAAAGTGTTGCCATGAAAGCAGCATTACACCTATTATGCTTGACTCTAGAGGGCAGAAATAGGAGTGAGTGGAAGTTGCAGAAAGACAAGAGTTTAATGAAAAACTTAAAATTAAAGCTATCCAGAAGTGGAATGGACTTTTTGGGGGAAAAAAAAGTGTGCTCTGTTTTATTAAGTCTTTAAAACAAAGATCTCATGCTCAGTGGCAATGCTATATATTCATCCCAAGATGACAGGGATGATGCCCTCCCCCCTCCCAAGTCACTTTATACTTGGGGCAAATAGACTACCCCTCAGTCTCTGATTCCATAGTAGCGTGGGTCTTCTAGTACATTTCGATTCTCTGAGGCTCAGTATCCCTGTTGCTAGGCCTCGTCCTAGTCATTCAAGCTAAGGGCTACCATTCCAGTGTTAGTACAGAGAAAGGCTGAATAGAATACTGGTCCTTGTTACATTCTGAAATTCCACAAGCTTCTTTAAATTGCCAGATAGGAACAAGTTTTAAAAAAAGAAAGTAGAAAGGTAGAAATCTGATATTTGCAGAATTATTTTCTAGGTTGAACTATTACTAAAGAGATTTGAACCTGTTTTTGAAGCTCTGCTTATTTAACTGCCCAATCTCAAAAAGAAAGGAAAGCTGGAAGATAAATAAACCCCTTGGGCTTCATATATGATAAAAACTGGGAGTATAGTAGAACTACTTAGTTTAAAGAGGAGGTGATGCCAGTACATTTTAATAAGCGATTGTAGAAAAAGCAATCGATGGAATATTTATTCTTTTACAAAGTGTTCTTTTTGTGTTACTGGAAAAACACTTTAAGGTGTCATTAATTCTGTGTCCAGCACATCTCAATCCTTTATTTTTTTTTCCTCTGTTAACACACTGGGGTCACAGGCTTTGAAAGTAACTAAAGGGTTATGGAATTTGATCACAATCCCTGCTATTCAAAAATGACTTTGAATATTATAAACCAAATTTGTAAGTGAATATGGACTTATAATTTAGGTTAATGTTAAATAGTTTGGACTTAGGAAAATGACTTGATGTTAAAAATGAGTATTACCTGATTTCTTTTTTTGTCTTTTAAATATTTAGGTCCATTATTCGAGCCCTGATCAAGAATTTTTCTATTGCTTCTTTTTTTCCTGCTTTCATCACACTGCTGTTTTTTCAGCATAATCGAACAGCATACGACATTGTGGCAGGAACCATCGTGGTAAAAAGAAATGGGGTTAGATGATGCCAAGAAAAAGCCCTGAGTTCTAAACTTTCTGTAATAATGACAAGACTAAAATTATGTTTGAGGCCATCAGTATCCTTGGGTTAGATTAACTGGTGATTTGGAAATTAAACATTCACTCCCATGTGATGCAGGTGACTATCTTGAAAGTATTGACTTTACTTGAATGCCAAAGAACTTTACCAGAAAAGAAACAGTACTTATTCAATGAAAAAGTGTCGAGTTTTTCAATTGAAAAGAAGGCATGTAATGTCACAATCAACTATGGACATATATTTTCTCACATTCTAAAGCATGATAATTTGCTGGGAGTAATTTCAGCCTTGAGTCTCCAAATGAAATTTCTGCAGCCTTTTGTGTTTAACACAAAAGGATGGAGAATGTCCAGTTGTGTTTTGTAAACACCTACATAATCCACCTTCTAGGTAACACCTCTTAGAAAAATTGCAACCTTTATTTTCTCCTAGGGGATGAAATTAATTATTTCATCCTAATAATTGGTTACATGAGATGTGAATTGGACAACGGAGGCTCAGGTTATCAGTTATCTCTTACCTAAAGCTTTTTAACATATACTGCATTTTACTTAAAGAATGGTGCAACTTTACCACTATTCTAAATATTTAATCCAAATGTGTATTTTGTGACAGGTCTTGCATGATGATCACAAGTATTAAGTCTATTACTATATTATCAGTGCTTTTTTTAAAGGAAGGTAAGTTAATGATTCCTTTTTATAAATGAATCAAAAGCAAAATTTCTACGGTAAATTGAACTTTATGTTGATGTGCAAATGTTTCAGTGCTCTAAAGGGAACACTGGACTATAAATACATAGAAAGAAATAATCACTTCTTTTTGGTGGTAAAAATGATTACTTCCATCAAGTTGTTGCATATTAACAGTATGGTATGAAACAATATTCTAATTGTGTTTGCAGCATGAAGAAAATATTAGTGTATCTCAGTATTCTGAAGTTGAATGTAACATCTTTACAAATAGGATTTTCACTCAATAATCAGTCCTCACTTTGTATCCTTTATAGTTACGTAATTGTACTGTTGGAGTGAACTGCATCAATCTGTTGAATAAAGAACCTCAGTATTTCGTGATATATTTACATGCCATTATACTGTGAAATGTTTGTATTTTTCGCGATACGAAATAATCATTTGAAAATCACTTGCAAAGGAAGTGTTGTCTTCAGACATTGACCAGAGTTTGAAAGTGTTCTTTAGTTGCACTGGAATTCCTTAATCCTACCTATTTATTACCAGTGGGCCAAAAAGAATTCAGTGGTTTCATTTATTCAGTTTACTATTGACTTTGCTGCTGGTTACAGGGAATACAGTATTTAAGAAGTTAGGAAGAATGGTAAGTCCATGTGTTGTCATTTTATTCATTCCACTGCTAAAAAAAAAAAAAAATTTTGTTTCTTCTTTTTTGCCCCAGTTAGTGCTGTTGAGATATTTCTGAGCCAAATAAACAGGTTTTTCTGGTTTTATTTGATTTTTTTTAACCATATTACAACCAGCATCTCCATTTATTTGAAAAGAAGGTAGTGTGGTATAACAGAAAGAGCATTGGATTTGGAAAGAGAGATTTGAATCCAAATCCCAGTTATGATACTACCCATGTGATTGTAGACAAGTCTCTTCACAACTCTGGGCCCCAATTTCCTCATCTGTAAAATTACTTGAGGCTTGGTTCAGTGGTTTCAAACCCAAATAGAAACAAATCTCTGCATGCTACATATTGACTAAGAAAACCACAAATTAACATTATTCATGTTGTATTGTAATTTTATTTATTTTGTTAAACAATTTCCTGATTACATTTTTTTTTAATCTGGTTCACCCCATTTGTGACAGGTGAGTTTGATACCTCTGGACTAAATGATCTAAATTCCTTGCAGGTCTGAAACCTATGATCCTAGAATATTTTCTTAGATAAATTTTTGTCAAACAATATGGAAATTGTGTAGTGAAATGAAATAGCCTTTGATATTCTTGGCTTTTAAAAATAACATGTTGCTACATGACAAAACTGAAAAATAGACTCCCTGTTTACTGTCATAGCAATTTTTAAAATTATTTTTCTCACAATTTACTATGGAAAAATTATTTGAAATACTGTTTTTACAATTCGTGTTTACAGAACTTGAACAATGAGCTCTTTTTTGGTGTAACTTTATTTTAAAACTTCACAAGCCACATTTCTTTTTCAAAACTATTTGGTGTTAGATTCAGCTTCATTAAAAACTGTTGGAAGTAGGATGCTAGATTTGGTCATTATCAAAATCAATATGACATCACAGAAAAATGAACCAGTAGTTAAATTAACCTTTTAAACCTTACAGAATTCTGTAATTTGAATTGTTATTTTATGGGACAGGGTAGAAAATACTGCAAAAATATAACTAATATATAATGCTCATTACCAGTGCTATTCATTGTACTATATTTCATCACTGTCACGTTTTGGTTGTAACTTGGGCATTATCGCTCTTTTAGACTACTAGGGAAGTAATTTAAAGCCCTGGGGAAAATTGGATTCTGGCATAATAGCACATACCTCAAGTGGTACCATGCCAATAAGAGTATCTTTTTGTCTCTTCAAAGCTCTACACTCTTCCTTATTAATAGGAATTTGAGTTGCCCCTTCTCTTTCAAGAAATTATATTGCCCTAAAGTTCAAGCTTAAGAAAGAAAAAGATATTAGAAAAATTTACTGCCTTCACATTCATGTATTTTATAGTATTTGTATATTTTTAATTTAAAATATGTAAGATATAAGCAAATCATAAAAGGAAATTAAAGGGGGAGAAATTTAGTTGTGATATTATTTCATTGAGAGTTCTCTAAGTATACCCACTGTATCTGAGAATGCAGAATTATCTTTACACATTTATTACTGAAGTCTAGTATTCATATTTTATAAACTCTGCAAATATTCATAACTAAAATTGTAATGAGTAGCCCTGTGTGCTTTGGAAGAGGAAACCAGAAATACATTGTAAAGTTAATGATCATACAGATTCTTGCTGAATCATTTTGTTAAATCAAGCCCCTTTGATCAGATTATGAAGTTATAAAGTGGAGTTAAATTGCAGTCTCCTAAATAATGCTCAGTTTTCTAGCATCTTAAAATCTGTTTTAAGCACTTAACCTGCCAGTATTATGAAAGGACTTTTAGCATAAATTTTCGTGACAGTCTTTCACAATTGAAATTTACCAATCAAACATTTAAACACCTACAATATGTGTAGGTATCATGCATACACAGACACTGGGGAAAAAAGACAAAAATGAAGTGCCCTCAAGGGTCTTAAATTCTATTGGGGGAGACCATTTGTATATGTCTAGTTGAATATTGTTAAATTAATGTACTGTCTAAACATTTATTTTCTTAGTATTCTGATTTCTCCTAAGAATACACATTTATCTTCTAAACTACATTATTACATTTATAAATGAGGAAGTTTATTATGAAATGAACATGCACCTTTTTTGCTAGACCAAGTTGTATATATATAATACAAATAATTGTCCATTTCTGTGGTTTTGTTATACCATATATTTCCAATGACGCCATAGGTGTTTTACTATTATTAGCTCAGTGCAGCTATAGGAAACTATATTGGCATATAATTACTTTCTTCAGGTAAAATTTTCCTCATTTCCCTTCAGTTCCTTGCTGATTTGAGTAGTTTTCTTTGGGTAAGGGGAAACAGGAATTGAAACCTATTTATTTGCTACTTGTTAATTTGTATATAAGAATTTGGCTGAGGAGGATATTGAATCTGTTGGGTAAAATTAGGTTTGAGGATTATCAAATTTTCTAAATAAATCCTTTTCATTTGTGACATACCTGTCCCTATTAAAGATAGTTTATATTCTATTATTTATCTTGGGTAATGTTAAGGTTAGTTTGTTTTCAAACATATAACTCCTAAATGCTTTTAATATAATAGTATTCGTGAAATTGAACCATCATAGAAAAATGTAAAAAGTGTTATACAAATTTCCACATCAGAAAAAATATATAGTTCAAGTTCTGTTACAACACAACCATTACAAAAATATTTTTAACAGAGATTTTCCCAAATCGGTCAGGGATATTCTTCAAGAAGTATTTGCTCAAATAAGCTCTACCACTACACCCTAAAAATACAGAAAGGCCATAGGAGTTCATTGTCATAGAAAATGACCTGCATCATTGTTTTGTAATAAATCATGCTATTTCAATTTGTAAGCTGCCAATTTGTATAGTATCCTGTCTTAATAAAATCTTTATTACAGTCTTCATGGTGTTTATGCATTGTCTCTAATTGGAAATGTTTTGGTTTCAAAAAATGGTGTGGGCCCCAACTAGGATCTCCACCTTTGCTATAGATCTGCTCCAATGGAGGGAGTATTTACATTTAGCCTCCGATATTCTTACAAAATCTAAGTCAAAAGAGACTTTAGACATTCTCTAGTGTTGCTCATACCTGAAGTCCCCTACCATCTCATCTCTTAAGGAAATCCTTCTACTTCTTTCTAAGAAGTGGGTATCTTTTCAATTAGAATCTGAAGATCTCCACTAAAGGATAACTTGCCGCCAACCAAAGCTGCCCTTTCCACTTTTGGATAGTTCTGTTTAATCAGCAAGTATTTAGTGTTAACTCTGTGCCAGACACCGGCATAAATGCTGTAAATACAAATACAAAGAAAGTGACTCTATAGGAGATTACATTCTAATGTGAGATGATAGCACATAAAATTTGCCATTCTCCTGTATGTTTTGTCTCCTCTGATTAGAATATAAGTTCCCTTAATACAAATTTTCTCTTGAATGACCCTCCTCTCTAGGTTGTCAGGATGCTACACACTTAGGTTTCTCTTCCTACCTGTCTGACTACTCCTCCTCAATCTCCTTTGTTGGGTCTTCATCCAAGTCACACACCTACTAAACTTAGGTGTCCCAGAGAGTTTTGTCCTGGTCCCTCTTTTCTTCTCCCTCTATACTATTTTACTTGGTGATCTCAGAGGCTACCATGCATTCAATTATTACTGCTATACTGATGGCTCTCAAAGCTGCTAATCTAGCCCTAACCTCTCTGCTGACCTGCAATGTCTCACGTCCAACTGCCAATCAAACACCTTCAGTAGACATCTTAAACTCAACATGTCCAAAACAATTCATTAACTTTCTCCAAGCCCACCTGCTTCCAAACTTTCTTATCAGGGGAGATAGAGAACTAAGTCTGTATCATTGCTCTATCAATCATGTATTTGATAGTGAACTTTGTAGGGCAAATACTATGTAGAAATTTGGTTATCTGAGCCCATTAGATACTTGGGCCTTACTCTTCCAGAGTGAGGCCAGCTGTATCTGCCCCCCAAAATGTCTTAGATTGAGGGATACCCCTGAAAGGTTAGAATGCCTTTCTCTAGTGGCATCTGATCAAGCCTCCATTCTAGCGTGTTTCTCTCACTGTTAGCCACTAGTGATTGGCACCTCAATTCCATGTGACTAATATCAATTCAGTTTTGATGAAGATATTTACTGTGAAAATATATCAAGGAAAGAGTACAAACATTCTCCTTAACACCTGGGGACACATTCTCCCTGATATTATTACCAGAGAGAGCTCAGACTCAACACATCATAATGGCACTTTTTTTTTTTTAATTTACTCATTCCTCCAGCAGATCTACTCTAGGTAACTTGGTGAAGCTTGTCTAGCTCTGGACTCTGGTCCACTCCAATCACCCCTCGGTCTAGCATCCTTCTTAGATCATTATTGGGACAGTTATGGGGAACTGGGCTGTTACTGCTTCCTCCTACTCCACCATTTTGGTTCAGTCTATTTCTGATTTGGTTTCCATGGCTCAGAACATGACCCTGGGATCCTGGTCATCACTAGCAGAAGCAAAAAAAAAAAAAAAAAAGTTAAAATGTTACATTTTGAAAGGATGTGCCTCAGAGTTGTTACAATTTGCATATCTCTAATCAGTAGTGATATAGAGCATTTTTATATGACTATAGATAGCTTTAATTTCTTCATCTGAAAATTACCTGTTCATATCCTTTTACAATTTATCAATTGGGGAACGACATGTCTTATAAATTTGACTCAATTGTCTATATAATTTTAAAATGAGGCCTTTATCAGATATAATAGCAGTGAAAATTGTTTCCCAGCTTTCTGCTTTCCTTCGAATCTTGGTTGCATTGGCTTTGTGCAAAACCTTTTTAATGTGATCAAAATCATCTATTTTGCATTTCATAATGTTCTCTATCTCTTGTTTGATCATAAATTCTTCTCTTCTCCATAGACCTGACAGGTAGACTATTTCTTGCTCTCCTAATTTACTTATGGTATCACCTTTTATGTCTAAATCATGTAACCATTTTGACCTTATCTTGGTATATGGTATAAGATGTTGGTCTATACCTAGTTTCTGCCAGATAATTTTCCAGTTTTCCTGGCAGTTTTTGTAAAATAGTGAGTT